GCCACATTTTACCTCTTTTAAGAATTTTTCAGCTAGGCCTGCAAGCAAAATTAACACATGGCGACCAACAGGAGAAAAACGTAGAAATTGGCTTAATACAAGTTTTATGTAGCACAGGAGCCTTCATAACAAATTAGTAAAAGAGCAGTAAATTAAGAAAATGTGACAAGTCAGAGGGCCTGGGGATTGAGTAGTTAGTTGGACAAAGTAGCTGGGAAGTTAAGTGCTAGTCTAACAAGATCTGTTAGATTCTGTTGCAAGTGGAACATCATTTGCTTGGGGATTCATTCCCTGCTTTAAAGAAACAGAAGCTTAGAATCATCTTCCTCCTGCTGTTTTTCAAGCACCTGTAGCTCAAAATAGTCAATGCACCAGAGTGAAGTATCTTTAACTCTTTCAATGTCTTTATGTTCACTTCAAAGTCCTCACTTCAGAATCTAACAGGATGGACAACTCACCGGCTGGATAAGTTGACATGTTCTTCAGGATACTTTGTCTGGAAAAGGAAATTAAAGTTGAGATAATACAGGAGACCAGGAGGATGTCTCTAATTTAGTCACCTGACACCAAAATGAAGGAAAGATTCCATAAGTTCCATGATACCTTAAACACCATAAACAAAGACACTTACACCATTTAAAATTAAATCCAAATTTGCTTACTCTAAACATAATATATGTTGAGGATAGAATACCACTCAGTGAACTATAAGTACAAACAATCTATCATCTTTTCATGTTTGACATGATTTTTATGTTTTGTAATATTTATAAATGTGATAGGATATTAATATCACTCAAAACTTCTTTTGTTTTTGTTGTTCACTCTCTATGTGTTTGCATATGCTCTAGGGATTCCTGACTTGCAAATTTCCACCTTCATTCCACTGTGGTCTGAGAAGCTGCATGGTATGATTTCAATTCTTTTGAATTTGCTGAGACTTGCGTTATGGCCTAGTATGTGGTCAATCTTAGAGTAGGTTCCATGTACTGCTGAGAAGAATGCAAATTCTTTAAGTGTAGGATGAAAAGTTCTGTAGATATCTGTTAGATCCATTTGGGCTATAGTGTCGATTAAATCTGCTGTTTCCTTATTGATCTTCTGTCCAGTTGATCTGTCTATTTGTGAGAGTGGAGTATTGAAGTCCCCCAGTACTACTGTATTGAAGTCTAAGTCCCCCTTTAAGTTCCTTAACATATCTTTTAAATAACCCAGTGCCCTGTAATTAGGTGCATATTCGCTTATAATACTTACATAATTGATCCCTTAATCATTATATAGTGCCCCAGCTTGTCTCTCTTAACAGCTTTTGTGTTAAAGTTTATTTTGCCAGACATTAGCATAGCTACGCCAGCTCTTTTTTGGATTCTGTTGGCATGGATTAACTTTTTCCAACCCTTCACTTGCAGTCTGCGTGCATTTTTGTTGGAAAGATGTGCTTCTTGTAAGCAGCAAATAGATGGGTTTTGTTTTTTAATCCATTCAGCCATTCCGTATCGTTTAACTGGAGAGTTGAGGCCATTAACTTTTTTTTTTTTTTTGACAGGCAGAGTGGACAGTGAGAGAGAGAGACAGAGAGAAAGGTCTTCCTTTGCCGTTGGTTCACCCTCCAATGGCCGCCGCGGCCGGCGCGCTGCGGCCGGCGCACCGCGCTGTTCCGATGGCAGGAGCCAGGAGCCAGGTGCTTTTCCTGGTCTCCCATGGGGTGCAGGGCCCAAGCACTTGGGCCATCCTCCACTGCACTCCCTGGCCACAGCAGAGGGCTGGCCTGGAAGAGGGGCAACCAGGACAGAATCCGGCGCCCCGACCGGGACTAGAACCCGGTGTGCCGGCGCCGCTAGGCGGAGGATTAGCCTAGTGAGCTGCGGCGCCGGCCGAGGCCATTAACATTTAATATGACTATTGATAAGTAGTGACTTTGCCCTGCCATTTTTCCAAAGATATTTCTAATATATACTTTGAACTTCCTGTGATCTTTTACTGAAAGATTGTCTTCCTTTACCTTCTTTTGTATTGATGGCCATGTTTCTGTGTGTAACACATCTTTAAGCATCTTTAGCAGGGCTGGACGAGTGGTGACAAATTCTTTCAATTTCTGTTTGCTATGAAAGGTCTTTATTTCACCTTCATTCACAAATGAGAGCTTTGCAGGATATGATATTCTGGGATGGCAGTTTTTTTCTCTTAGTACTTGGGCTATATCTCACCATTCCCTCCTAGCCTGTAGGGTTTCTAATAAGAAGTCTACTGTGAGTCTAATTGGGGATCCTCTGAGAGTAATCTGAGGTTTCTCTCTTGCACATTTTAGAATCTTTTCTTTATGCTTCACTGTGGTGAGTTTGATTACAATGTTTCATGGCGAGGATCTCTTCTGGTCATGTTTATTGGGAGATCTTTTTATCTTTTTTTTTTTTTTTGACAGGCAGAGTGGACAGTGAGAGAGAGAGACAGAGAGAAAGGTCTTCCTTTTGCCGTTGGTTCACCCTCCAATGGCCACCGCAGGAAGTGCGCTGCAGCAGGCGCACCGCACTGATCCAAAGGCAGGAGCCAAGTGCTTCTCCTGGTCTCCCATGCAGGTGCAGGGCCCAAGCACTTGGGCCATCCTCCACTGCACTCCTGGGCCACAGCAGAGAGATGGCCTGGAAGAGGAGCAACCGGGACAGAATCCAGCACCCCAACCAGGACTAGAACCCAGTGTGCCAGTGCTGCAGGCAGAGGATTAGCCTATTGAGCTGTGGCGCCGGCCCTATTGGGAGTTCTATGTGCTTCCTGTACTTGGATGTCTCTGTTCTTCTCCAAACCTGGGAAGTTTTCTGCTAGTATCTCAATAAAAAGGCCTTCTAATCCTTTCTCTCTCTCCATGCCTTCAGGAACTCCTAGAACCCAAATGTTGGATTTTTAATAGTATCCTGTAGATTCCCAACAATATTTTTTTAGATTTCTAATTTCTTCTTCTTTTCTTTGGTTTGACTGTGTTTTCCTGTGCTCTGTCTTCTAAGTCTGATATTCTCTCTTCTGCCTCATTGATTCTGTTTTTAAGACTCTCAAAAGTGTTTTTATTTGTTCTATTGAATTCTTCATATCATTTTGATTTCTCTTAAATATTTCAATTTCATATTCTATTAAATTCCTCATTTCATTTTGATTCCTCCTTAAGATTTCATTTTCATGAGAGAGATTTTCTGTCATGTCCTATATGGATTTCTGTAGTTCATGCATTTGTTTTTGATAACTTCTAAATATTCTTATCCTAAATTTTTTGAGTTCCATTTCTTGCATTTCTTCTATTTCATCATCTTCATAATTTCGTATTGGAGTGTCATGTTCTTTTGGGAGTGTCTTGATGTCTTCCTTATTCTTGTTTCCTTGGTTTTCATGTTTGTTGTTTGGCATTGTGGAGTTATTCTTTGGTTTCTTTTGTTGTTGTTGTTCACTGTGGCAGCTTTTCTCATTATACTATGACTCTAGATTAAGTGGACTGTCTTTTTGATGAATCTCTAGATGCATGTGTTGAGTGTGGCCTGAGAGCTCTTTTCAGAGTTAAGGGTGTGCCAAAGGTGACACACACAGGTTTGGCATGGTAAATCTCTCTCTCTCTCTCTCTCTCTCTCTCTCTCATGTGTTTTTTTTATTCAGAAGGGAAGTAATTTTGCTCAGCTGAGTTCTTCTCCTCGATGGTGATCAGTGCCTAAGCGCTAGCCCCAGTGGGTACAATATTGCAATATTGTCCACTCCGTCTCAAGGGCCACACAAAGGATCTGTGCAGTCCCCAGTGTAAGCTCAGATTCCCCTACAATGTCTCTCACCAGGTAGCCAAGGCCGCCTGAGCTTGTGGCCTCTTCCACCGAGACTACTCACATCTCAGCCACCCCATTAGTTCTCCCACACACCCTCAGTTTTTTATCCACAGTCCCGCTTCATAAGCTCCACATATTCACTATGTCTTAGTCTCCTGTTATTATTCCCCACAAGAGTCAGATTTTTCTATGTGGCTGAGGGCGGGTGCAGCCCTGAGCTGGCACAGCTCTTACATATGTCCAAAATGGCACCTGCTATATTGTCTCACATGCCTTTGTAAGGTGCGTGGAGAGATAATCATGTCTGTACTGTCCCTTTTATTTTTTTCTCTCTTCTAGTTAGGCTGGTATACTTTCCCCCATGGGGCTTCAAGCCTCGTTCCCTCTAGGCTCTTCCTGCCACTTTTCTGCCACTGTCTTGGGCTACTGCAGTTTTGTCTCACCTCTTTTTCAAGTGCTTGTGTGGAGGAGAATCTCGGCAGCTGGGATCCCAAGCTGTGGGCACCCGTGCCCTCCACATAGATCCACCATGTCCCTCTGATTCCAGAAGAGTTTCCTCTGCCATTTTTTCCATAACTCTTCCCTGAGACTACACTATCTCCACTTTCATTAAACTATCTTTTCCTGGACTATCAGTGCGCTCCTTCCGTCTTGGAATCTCCCAGAGCTGGTCTCATCCTTTAAAAGTGTTTTTCCTGAGAATTCAAGTCTGTGAGGAACTGAGGAGTTCCTGACAAAAGTCAAAACTGGAGATAGCAGTATGAACCAATGAAACAATCAGTGAGTAAGGATATGACCACCTTTTTGGGTATTTTTAGGCATATGAGTGGGTGCTTTTTCATGGATGCTATTTCTTCATGTACTTCTGAATATCTACTGATGGCACAGTAAAAAAAAATGAATGAATAGCCTGTGAATTAACATGTAGAGTCCAGTTTACTATTTGGGATAATCACAAATTATTTTATGCCATATACTAATTCATCAAATCACTTGTACTCTCGATAAATAAAAATGTATGTGACCCTCTCAGAGGTTGTCAGAATAAATTCATCTTGAATATCACAATGCAACCTCTTGTCAACCATTTTCACGTGCAGCTTGCAGAGTCCAGACTTTAACCTATGTCAGTTACTCTCAAAATGTTGTCCTCAGATCACCAGCAGCAGCAGCACCTGGGACTCATTAGAAATGAGGATTCTTGTGCTTGCTTTGTCAGCACATATACTAACACTGGAATGATATGGGAAAGCTTAGAAAGGCATCTGTGCTAGAATGACATGCAAATCCATGAAGTATTCCATATTTTAAGTGACTGAACTGAGTTACTACTTATCACTAATAACTATGAATGTAAATAGACTCAATTATCCAATTAAAAGATGCACACCGATTGAATGGGTTAAAAAAAAGGTCATGACTCAACAATATTCTTCATGTAAGAAATTCCCTTTACTAGGAAAGACACACACAAAGAGTGAGAGTAAAAGGATGGGAAAAGATATTCCAGGCAAATAGAAACAAAAAATAGCAAGAGCGGCTATACTCCTATGAAACAAAATATATAGTAAAACAAAAACTGTAAAAGGAGCCAAAGAATGCCACTATATAAAGAACAAGGGATCAATTCAACAGGAAGATATGGTTGTAAGTGTATATGTGCATAATGCCAGAGCACTCAATTTTATAAGACAAACATTGGTAGAACTAAAGGGAGATTGTTTTAACATAATAAAAGTGGAGAACTTCAACATCCCACTTTCATCAGTGAATAGATTATCCAGACAAAAAATAAACAAAGACACTTACAGAATATTTTATCCAATAGCTATGGAAGGCACATTATTTTCTTAAGTACTGGGAATATTATCTAGGATGGACCATATATTAGTTCACAAATTAAGTTTCAACAAATTCAAAACACTATCGTGGATCTTTTCTGACAACAGCGGAATAAAACCAGACACCAAGAGAAAGAGAAACTCTGGAAAGTATGTAAATACATAAATATTGAACAATGAGTGACAAGAAATCAAAAAGGAAATTAAAAATTCCTTGAAACAAATGAAAATGAAAACAAACATGTCAAAACAGGGGTTAGCAAAAGTAGTGCTAAGAGGGAAGTTTTAGCAATAAGAACCTACATTTAAAAAACAGAAAGATACCAAATAAACAGTCTAACAGTTCATGTCAAGGACACAGAAAAGCAAAAACAAACCAAAATCAAAGTTAATAGGAGGAAAGAAATAATAAAGATTAGAGCAGAAAAAATTAAATAAAAAGTTTTTAAAAGTACAAAAAATCAATGAAACAAAGAGTTGTTTTTTTGAAAAGATAAGCAAAATCAATAAAATTTTAGCGGCACTAAGAAAAAGAGAGAGGGGTTGGCACTGTGGCAGCTCTCTGCTATGGCCTGGGAAAGCAGTAGAAGATGGTCCAAGTCCTTGGGCCCCTGAACCTGTGTAAGAGACCCAGAAGAAGCTCCTGGCTCCTGGCTTTGGATCATCACAGCTCTGGCCATTGAGGCCATTAGGAGAGTGAACCAGCAAACAGAAGACCTTTCTCTCTGTCTCTTCCTCTCACTGTCTGTAGCTCTATCTCTCAAGCAAATAAATAAAATCTTTAAAAAAAGAAAAAGGGAGAAAAGACTCAAAAAATACCAGAGATGAAAAAGGAGCTATTATTACTGATGCCACAGAAATACAAAGCATCATTACAAGCCATCATGAACAGTTACATGCCACAAATTAGAAAACCTGGAAGAAATGTACAATTTCTGGGCATAGTTAACTTACCAAAATTAAATCATGAAGACACAGAGAATCTGAACAGACCAATAGTGAATGATGGGGTGGAGTCAGTAACAAAAAGTCTGCCCTAAAAAGAAAAGCATGAGAACAGATGGTTCCATTGCTGAATTCTATCGAACTTTTAAGGAAGAACTAATAACAGTTCTTCTCAAACTACTCCCAAAATTTAAAGTGAGGAAACTTATCCACATTCATTCTATCAGACCAGCTTTACCTTGATTTCAAAATCAGTCAAGGATACAAAGAAAACCATAGACCAATATCCTTTATGACTATAGATGCAAAAATTATCTATATAATATTAGCAAATCAAATCCAACAATACATATTGAAAAGATCATACAGTGTGATCAAGTAGGATCTATCCTAGGGAAGTGATAGTTGTTGAACATATGCAAATCTGTAAATGTAATACATCACATCAAAAAAAGAACAATAAAATTTGTATGATCATTTCAATAGATATAAAAAAGTATTCAATAAAATTTAACATCTATTCATGATAATTAAAAAAGAAACTAGAACAAATTAGGTATAGAAATAACAAGCCTCAACATAATGAAAGATATTTAGGACAAATCCACAATTATTGAGGCAGTAGATGATGGCATATGTACTGATGTCCCTGCCACCCATATGGAGACCTGAATTGAACTCTGGGCTACTGGCTTCAGCCTTATCCCACCCTGTCTGTTGCATGCATTTGTAGAGTGAATGAGTAGATGGAAGATATCTCACTGTCTCTCAACTTCTCAAATAAAGTGAAAATAAATGAATAGTAATTAAAATATAAAAATAAAAGCTGATTACACAGTGGAAAAATATCCACAGTTAACACAACATTGAATGGGGAAAAGCTGAAAAACATTTTCTCTAAGATCTGGAGCCAGATGAGGATATCCACTCTCACTGCTCTAATTCAGTTCATACTACTGGAAATTTTAGCCAGAAAAATTAGGCTAGAGAAATTTTAAAAAAAAAGAAATATAAATAGTAAAGGAGGAATTCAAATTATCCCTTTTTGCAAATGATGTTTTTCTTTATTTAGAAAAAAACTGAAGACTCTACCAAGAGACTATGAAAGCTAATAAATAATTTCAGGAAAGCTTCAGAACACAAAATCAACACACAAACATCAGTGGCATTTTTATACACCAATAATGAACCTACAGAGAAAGAAATTTTAAGTACAATCTCCTTCACAATAGTTACAAGAAACAAAATACCTTGTAATAAATTTAACTAAGGCTGGGGTTGGTGCTGTGGCATAGCAGGTAAAGCCACCACACTGCCTGCAGTTCCAGCATCCCATATAGGCAGCAGTTTGAGTCTCTGCTGCTCCAATTCCAATCCAGCTCTCTGCTTTGGCCTGGGAAAGCAGTGGAATATGGCCCAAGTCCTTGGGGCCCTGCAACCACATGGGAGAACTGGAAGAAGCTCCTGGCTCCTGGATTAGGATCAGTGCAGTTCTGGCTATTGTGGCCATCTGGGGAGTGAACCAGTAGATGGAAGACCTCTCTCCTTCTCTCTCTCTCTGCCTCTGCCTCTCTGTAACACTGCCCTTCAAATAAATAAGAAAAAAAATTAATCAAGGAGGTGAAATATCCCTGCGATGAAATTATAAAACACTAATGAAAAGAAACTGAAATAGAGGCAAGAAATGGAATAACCTCTCCATGCTCATGGATTGAAAAAATTGATATAAAATGTCCAAACCACCTCAAGTTATTTACAGATTCAGTGCAATCCTTAACAAAATGCCAATGACATTCTTCATAGTACTAGAAAACGCAATCACAGAACACCCTGAAAATCCAAAGAAATTTAGAAAAAAGGAACAAAGCTTGAAGCATCACAATACCAGATTTCAAGACATACTACAGAGCTTTTGGATCCAAAACATTGCAGTACTGGCATAAAAACAGACACCTAGCCCAGTGGAATGGAATATAAATCCAAGAAATTAACCCATGCCTCTACAGCCAGCTTATTTTAGACAAAGTTGCCAAAAACATACCCTGGAGAAAGGGCAGGTTCTTCAACAAAAGGTGTTGGGAAAACTGATATCAGTTTGAAAAAGGTTGAAATTTCTACCTTCACCCTATACAAAAACCAACTCAAAATGGATCAAAGATCTAAATGTAAGACTACAAAACTACTAGAAGAAAACATAAGGGAGGAGTCGGCGCTGTGGTGTAGCAGGTAAAGCTGTTGCCTGCAGTGTCAGCATCCCATATGGGCACCAGTTTGAGATCTGGTTGCTCCACTTCCAATTCAGCTCTCTGGTATGGCCTGGGAAAACAGTAAAAGATGGCCCAACCCAGTGAAAGATGGTCCAAGTGCTTGGGCCCCTGCACCTGCATCGGAGACCCAGGAGAAGCTTCAGGCCCCTGGCTTCAGATCTGCCCAGCTCCTCTCATTGCAGCTACTTGGGGAGTAAACCAGCAGATGGAAGATCTCACTCTCTCTCTCTCTGCCTCTACCCCTGTCTTTATGTAATTCTGCCTTTCAAATAAATAAAAAATAAATCTTTAATATTAAGAAAAGAAACATAAGGGAAATAATCCAAAATATTGGCTTAGGCAATGATTTTTTAGATAAGACCTAACAGCACAGGCAACAAAAGCAAATCTGGATAAATGGGATATCAAAGTAAGAAGTTGCTGCACAGCAAAGGAAATGATCACAGAGTGAAGAAACAACCAACATATTGGAAGAAAATATTTGTATTTGGCAAAGGGTTAATATACAGAATATAAAAGGAACTTGAAAAGACTCAATAGCAGCAAAAATTCAGTTAACAAATGGGCAAAAAAAGACTTGAGTAGACTTTTCAAAAAGAAGAAATACAAGTGGCCCAACAAGTACATGAAAAAAATACACGATATCACTAGCCATAAAGGAAACACAAATTAAAACCACAATAAAGTACCATCTCATTCCAGTTAGAGTGGCTATTAATAGAAAAGAAAAATATAGTAAATGCTGATCATGATGTGGAAAACAGGAAATCCTTACCCTTTGTTGGCTGGAATGCAAATTAGCATAACCATTATAGAGACTTGTCTGACTGTTCCTCAAAAAGTTAAAAACAGGAGCCAACATTGTGGTGCAGAGGGTTAAGCTACTGCTTGTAACGCCATATCGGAGGGCCAATCAGAGTCCCTCTGTTCTGTTTTTGATCCAACCCTGCTAGTGCATCTGAAAAGGCAATGAATGCAACCCAAGTACTTGGGTCCATGTCACCCTTGTGGGAGGCCTACATGGAGTTTCTGATTCCTAGCTTCAGCATGTCCCATACCTGGCTATTGTGGCCATTTGAGAGGTGAACAAGTGGATGGAAGATATTGCATATTCTCTCTCTTACTCTCTCTCTTTCTTGTGCCCTCTCTGTTACTCTACTTTTAAATAAATATTTAAAAACAAAGCAAAAACCTAAAGATAGATCTTATCCAGCTATTCCACTTCTAATAATCTATCCAAAGGACATTAAATCAGCA